TCGGGGCTTTTAATTTTCATATCGATGATCCTTCCTGTGGGGTGGCGGTAGACTTTTTAGCTCTTATAGAATCATTAAATTTTAATCGGCATTTTCTTAGTCTTACCCATAAAAAGGGCCATACCTGGGACTTTGTTTTTTCTGTTGGCCTGGATATTGATAACTTAAGTGCTGATGATATGCAAATGTGTGATCATTATTGTGTTCGATTCAATTTGTCTCGTAACATCATGTCCTCTGTCCGCAAAGTGCTGGCCCAAAAACGCTTGATAAATCAGGCTGCACTTGATGGGTTTTCTTTGTTATTTGGGCTTTTAATTTTCATATCGATGATCCTTCCTGTGGGGTGGCGGTAGACTTTTTAGCTCTTATAGAATCATTAAATTTTAATCGGCATTTTCTTAGTCTTACCCATAAAAAGGGCCATACCTGGGACTTTGTTTTTTCTGTTGGCCTGGATATTGATAACTTAAGTGCTGATGATATGCAAATGTGTGATCATTATTGTGTTCGATTCAATTTGTCTCGTAACATCATGTCCTCTGTCTGCAAAGTGCTGGCCCAAAAACGCTTGATAAATCAGGCTGCACTTGATGGGTTTTCTTTGTTATTTAACCCTAGTTCTTTTTCTAATTGTACTGACAGTGAAACATTTATGGACTGCTTCAATGGTCATTGTTTGGATATCCTAAATTATGTGGCACCAGTTAAACATTGTCCGGTTTCTTATAAAAGACTGTGCCCATGGATGAGTGAAGCTATTTGTAGGTATAAAAGAGATTGTCGTAAAGTAGAGCATCTGTGGAAAGCCAGTAAGTTAGAAGTTCACAGACTGCATTTTAAAAATATGATTATGGAGCTAAATGAAATGATAAAGCAGGCAAGATCAGCATATTTTTCTCATTTGGTTTCATTAAACAAGAAAAAACCTAAAGTTTTGTTTGATACAATTCATAATATCGTTTCACCTCTAGCTCCCCAAGTCCCTGTTCACACAGTAAAGGATTGTAATGTGTTTTTAAACTTTTTTATTGATAAAGCACAAGATATTAGGGCCAGTATTAATCCTAGCCTGGTAAGTTTAAATACCGAGACACCATGTGTAGGTCTCTGGTCATCTTTCACTCCAGTTACACTTCAGGAGGTGAATACACTAATGAGCAGGATTAATCCATCAACTAGCCCTGTTGACATCCTGCCTACATCTTTGCATCTAAGTAAGTCGGACTTGATTGGTCCTTGGATTGTGAAATTGTTAAGTCTCTCAATTGAGACAGGATCTGTTCCTAGTTATTTTAAACATGAACTTTTTAATCCTATTCTTAAAAAGCCGACTCTCGACCAATATCAAAGCTCCCTTTTATGTCAAAAATCTTGGAAAAAGCGGTAGCAGGACAGCTGATCGCTTTTATGGAACAGAATAAACGATATGACGAATTTCAGTCAGGGTTTCGTAAGATGCATTCTACTGAGACTGGTTTACTTAAAGTCTCAAATGACATAATGATGGCTGCAGACTCTGGCCGATATACAGTTCTGGTTTTATTAGATTTAACATCTGCCTTTGACACTGTGGATCATGAAATTTTGATAAATCGGCTACAGTCCGAGTTGGTGATTTCTGGGTCTGTCCTTAAGTGGTTCTCTTCCTATCTTAGTGATCGAACTTTTAATGTGGCTATTAATAATGTTATGTCAGAAGTGGCTGCTCTGTCCTGTGGAGTTCTACAGGGGTCAGTCTTGGGTCCTCTCTTGTTTTTATTATATATTTTTCCTCTGGGTCAGATTGTCTTCCATCAAGAACTGGCTCAATAATAATTATCTTCGCATAAACTCTGACAAGACTGAAACTCTTATTGTTGCACCTGTTAACAAGTTCGCAGTAATTAAACAACACCTTGGTTTGCTGGGCTCCCCCATCCAGTTGAGCCCAAGAAACCTTTGTGTTGTGTTGGACCAGGCTATGTCTTTTGATTTTCATATAAGACAATTAGTCAGGAACTGCTTTTATTATTTGAGAAATATTTCTAAATTAAGAAAAATTTAATCAAAGGCGGATCTTGAAATGATTGTTCATGTTTTTATTTCTTCGCATATTGATTATTGTAACTCTCTTTTTACTTGTTGTAATAAGTCTACTTTAAACCAACTTCAGATTGTCCAGAATGCTGCTGTGAGGCTTCTCACAGGAACCTCAGCTCATATCACTCCTGTTCTGTACTCACTTCACTGGCTACCAGTCAAGGTCAGAGTTGATTTTAAAATGTTAGTGCTGACATTTAGAGCACTACATGGGCACTTCCCCCAGTATATTACTGATTTGTTGGTTCCATATTCCCCCAAACACACCCTTCGTTCCTCAAATCAGCCCCTTTTGTTGGTCCCAAAAACTCGCTTTAAATCTCTGGGGGACCTGTCTTTTAAGGCGGTTGCTCCAAGATTGTGGAATGCTCTGCCCTTGTCTTTACGTATGGCCGAATCTGTTGAGGGTGAAGACACATTTATTTAGACAATTTTTTAATTGACTGGGTTTACAGATTATTATGAAGTGTTTTTATTCTGTTATTTGAATTGCTTTTAGGTTTTATGTATATTATTTGTGTTTATTATTATTACTATTCTCTGATGTTGTAAAGCACTTTGTGATTCTGTCTGTGAAAAGTGCTATATAAATAAAGATCTTACTTGCATCTTTTCTAGCTCTTCTTTCAGCCCTTGGTGTTTCTTGAGCTTCTCGTATTTCTTCTTCCTGATGTTGCTATCACTTAGGATTGCTACATCTATCACTATGGCCTTCTTCTTCTGTTTGTCCACCACTACCTGATGAGAAGTGGGCTACTAGAACAAGACATTCATGGGAAAGAAAGGAGAACAGGGAACTATTGGAATGCTACTATACAAGTAACCCCAGCGAGCGGGGTTACATACGGAGGATATGGATACTTTGAAACCCAACATCTAGACTAACATCAAAACAACTAGTAGCCCAGTGCTCTAACATTCGCAAGAAGCACCTGCTATCACAACTAGAGATTGACGAGGTACAACACAAATGTTCCAGCAAGGGGGAGCCAGGACGACAGGTCGGGGGGGAAATATCATCATCATCACCCCCACAACAGCGGGGTGCAAGATGCTAGCAGGCAGGGCATACATGGAACGCCATAACCAAGTGGCTGGCATAGTGTACAGAAACATCTGTGCCAAGTACAGGCTAGAAGTTCCAAAGTCAAAATGGGATACACCTCCAAAGGTGGTTGAGAATGACCAAGTTAAGATCCTGGGGGACTTCCAGATACAAACTGACAAACTAGTAATGGCCAACCAACCGGACATAGTAGTGGTTGACAAACAGAGGAAGAAGGCCGTAGTGATAGATGTAGCAATCCCAAGCGATAGCAACATCAGGAAGAAGGAACATGAGAAGCTTGAGAAATACCAAGGGCTGAAAGAAGAGCTAGAAAAGATGTGGAAGGTGAAGGCACAAGTGGTCCCCGTGGTAATAGGAACATTGGGGGCTGTGACCCCCAAACTGGGAGAGTGGCTCCAACAGATCCCATGAACAACATCTGAGATCTCTGTCCAGAAGAGTGCAGTCCTAGGAACAGCTAAGATACTGCCCCCCAAAGTGGGGGGCGAGTGAATGTAACTGATAGCTCGAAAATGCATACAATAAACTAAACAATGAGAATTGTTTTAGCAGTGTAAAGAACATAAGCAAAACACAGTAGAGTACTGTATATGCTACCCAGTAATCCTAGTTCTCTTTTTATTCCTCTATCTCTATAAGCTATTGTTATGTCTCCTATAGTGATACTCATATATGTTTTACATCAGGGATTTTAGTCCATCTCTAAAAAGGCAGCCCTGTAAGTGCAGTGAAAAACAACAAATCTAGAGGGTTGGTAACTGCACACATCCAGCATATATCTACCGGTACACATTTAGACTCCATTCAAACCACTTTCAACCTTTCATATTTTACCCAGCATATGATGCTGCATAAAAGTAAGAATCATAAAGTACTGTACAAGCAGCTGACAGTCATGATAAAATAAACATTCAGCGACACAATAATAAAACCACACAAGGTTAATGGTGGCAATACACAATTTTTAATGACATTATGCTGCAAGTAATAAACAACAATGACATACAGAAAATCTGTGGACTTTTTTCCTTCAAGCCTTCCAGGTTGGTTCCATAAATCTCTCTTTGGCACACCCATATCATTGTGGATGTTCTGACACCTGCAAGCAATTCTGCTGTTGCATAAGCAACTTTGTACATTCATTTCAAGGCTAGAAGGCTAAAGTGGGCTAAACTGTTGTCATCAAGCTTTACAGGTAGTTCATCATATACAATTTACCACAGAGCTGACAAATTGAAACAAATAAGTCATGAAGACATTGGTTACATTGCAGTGAATTTACTGTATGTGAGCTCACTAGCCTGTGCCACTGCCTGCAGCTCACTGAATAATGTTCAGAGTGAAACACTGGGTGGTAGAAGATTTATAATGAATTGCTTATAACATTTCGCCCGATTGCCAGCTGGGATTGGCTCCAGCAACCCCCCCGTGACCCCGTTCAGGGACTAAGCGGTAGAAAATGAATGAATGAATGAATGCTTATAACATGCGTTTATATTTAATGTATCAATAACCCTGCATGTGTGCATTAAAAATTCAATACAATTATTATATTTATAAATCTTATAAGACAAGTTTCTGTCTTACTTTCAGAGTCAGAATCATAATCATCTTTAATTGCCAAGTATGTATCCAGTAGAGAGGTTCTCATTGTGTTCTAAGGCAACAGGAATTAGAATGTAAGAATAAAAATAAAAACATGGTTATATTTACATGTAGTAATCTGATTATTCATGGAATCAGAATATTGTTTTCTTTTATTTACCAGAGCGTATTTTGTCTTTATGGTGATGCATTCAGGTATTTGTTCTCATCACATGATAAATCATTAGGTCATTTCATAGTTTATTATAAATGAGTTAAAATGTGCAGTTGCACAGTGTTATAGCCATTTTATATGGGTGTTGAGGAATTTATTGTTGGTATCTCATGTTCTATTAATTCATAATGTTTTGAGTGTACCACAAAAGAAGACAATCGGAAAAAAAGGAGAAGAAGAAGGGAGAAGACGCGCGAAGCGGGCGAAAGAGAACGAGACAAGGTACGGCAATGGCCGCGGAGGGCGTGTGTCTGTGAAGTGTTCAGGGCGAAGGGAAAGTGCTCAGACTCGATCCTGGGCGGACCTGGACAATTGTTCCTGCTCCGACGGACCGCAGAAGAGTTCGGGAGGGACCGACGCTGCGAGGGAGTGAGTGAAACTGTGTTGTCAGAAGACGAGGCTGAGAGGGTTGAGCTGAGCTAACGCTAGAGCTAGCGCTGTGGCGTATGTGTGGATTGCTCCACCGAGAGCCATAGGGAAGCTGACGGTGTTGCTGCCGGAGACTCAACACTCACCTGCGTGGGACGACGACAGGGCCGTGGACGGTCTGTGTTCTTGGGCTGGTAAGGAGGAGTTTCATCACACTGGTAGGATTATTGCATTGGATCTGAATGAACACGAGCTCCAACGCGCGCCAACACATGCTAGCATAAAACTCTAAGGGTGCACCCAGGTTGACTGTGGGGTTGAAATATTATTTGTTGTTCGAACTGCATAAAACTGTGACCTGTGTTTTGTTTCTTTTAGTTAATACACAAAGTTAAACTGCATTGGGTGTGTGTTTTTCATTTATATACTGTGAAACTGGAAAAATTATCCGTAAATTACAGGTACCGGATGTACATATTCTGGTTATTTAATTTAATGTCATTTCTGGAGTCTCTCTAATTGGTGAGAACCATACTGAACCCTAGACAAAGTTGTTATACATTGGAATGTCCCTTTGCCAATTTGTGTTATTTGAGCTTGAAGGGGTATATACTAACTAGTCACTTCCTTGCTACAACGAGCCGGGTGGCAAAAGGGTTACATACAGTTTATTGCACTGGGGTGATTGCTGGGTCCAGTCATCCAGTCATCCAGTCATGGATTAAGTGTTCATCAGAGTGATGGCCTGGGGGAAGAAACTGTCTTTGTGTCTGGTTGTTTAGGTGTACAGTGACCTGTAGCGCTGTCCAGCTTTATGCAGACTTGTCACTGTGTTGGATGAAACTGATGACTATTGTGTTGTCTGCAAACTTCAGGGTCTTTACAGAGGGGGTCCTCTGAGGTGCAGTCCTTGGTGTAGAGGCAAAAGAGCAGTGGGGAGAGCACATATCCCTGGGGGACGCCTTTACTGATTGTCTGGGTGCTGGATGTGGTACGCTAGAGCTAGCGCTGTGGCGTATGTGTGGATTGCTCATTATTATCCACTGACAGGTGGGGGCAGGCACATTGAGCTGGATCATTTTAGAGCAGAGGATGTTTGGGGTGAAGTCCATGAAGAGGATCCATGCATAGGTTCCTGGGGAGTCCAGGTGTTGCAGGATGTAGTTCAATGCCATGTTGACTGCATCATCCACTGATCTGTTTGCCCAGAAGGAAAACTGCAGGGGGTCTACAATGTCCTTTAGGTGGGCCAACAGCAGTGCCTCAAAGGACTTCATAAGTACAGATGTTAGGGTGACAAGTCTGCAGTCGTTCAGTCTAATGATGGAGGGCTTCTTGGGAACCGGGATAACTTTGGAGCATTTGAAGCAGGAGGGGACTTCACACAGCTTTCATAAGCTCATGTGCAGGGACTCAGCTAAATTGCCTCCATTCAAATCGAGCAACAATTTTTGCATAATCTAATTGTTTAACATCTTTCAAAACATGCAAATAAGGGTCTAATTTGTTTTGTCACAAGTGTAAACAGCTAACCACAGACAACTCCCTGTTGTATTAGAACCAACAGCTCCGCTTACTAACTTGCTCTCCTAATGTGTTATAGAGACATTAGTGGCAATTAGTGACAGGAAATGTATTTATGAGGGGGAGAGAGGGTACTGTACTTTGCACTGCTGTGAAATTACAAAGATAAAGCTGATCCCACTTGTCAACAAACAACATGACTACATTTCTTATTCAAATCTATTTGAGTCCAAAGTAATGACACGTGATAGAAGAAGAAGTCTAGACAGAGAAACAGGCCAATGTATGGAGACAGACACGCAGTGATGCATGGCGCATGACTCTATATGAGCTCATTGAACATCTGCAAGTGGCAATAAGTAATTTATAACGGAAAATGGTGAAAAATAACATAAAGATGAGATTGTACTATTACATGTACTGCAAGTAAGGTGAACCTTTGAGCATAACTTAATGGACACTGGAATAAATCTACTGGAAATATTCACATTATGAACACTGTCTCTGTGGATTTATATATTGTGGCTGAGATGATTAGGTATTGATAAACCTTTATAACAATAATAGGGATTATTTCTATGTAAAACATTACAACATTTAATTTATACAGTATTACTTGTTAAGTAGTCAGATTGTCATGTGGAAAAAAGCATGTCCATCTAACAGTGACTGTATCAGCCTTTCACACATACTGCATAAGTAATGTGACTCTAGAGGAATTATAGGCTAATATGGTGAGAGGCTATAATGTGAATATATATTATTTAAACAGATAAAAGATAATGTTGAGAACATTTAATTAAGTCAGCATTTATTGAGTTTCTTGGTGGCAAGCAGCTCTTGGTGGCAATATTTACTGGAGGGGACTTATGTTAGCTTTTTCAATTTTACTGAGCATTAATGCAATGTCAATATGTACAGTAGGCCTATTGCTCCAAATTATAAATATACTTTTTTCTTGTACCTGCACCTTTTCCCTTATTATTCATCTTGATTTCTACCCTCAGGGATGGCACAAGACAGACAGACAGCAAATAAACTCAGACTGAGGCTAGGGGTACCAACTCCTGTGGAAGATATGTGTAAAGTCTTATTCATTGATTTATTATCAGTAGTGAAAGTCTGCATAAAGAACACACCATACCAGCTTCCACAAGTAATATTACACTATATGGCCTTCATGACTCTGAATTTGCTGTACTTTAAGCATATAAGGCTCAAGAGACTTTGTACATAAAGCATATGTAGTTTCTTTCTTTCTTTCCTTTTCGTCACTTTAACCTGTTGGTTCTAATCTTATAAATTGTGATTTGTACAAATAATGACAATAAAGGGTGCAGTAAAGTCATAGGTTCACAAAGTGGAAAAAAATATGATTGTTAAATGTGTTCCTCAAACAAAGCCAACGAATTGTATGAAAATGTACATATCAACAACTAACATGATTTCCAAGAAACTAATCTCCTTACATCACAGAATTTGATTTGTCTGAGCTTGTTATGAATCAGCCAGTTACTGCAACCAGCCTTGGCCAGTGTCTAAAAGTCTTTTATGTTCCTGCCAGGTACCTACTGAACCCTATCTAATATTAAAACACTGGAATTTTATAATAGCTGCTTGAGGCATCTTGGCTTTGCCTGAACCTGTTTTCAGCTGTTTGGATATTTTTCATTTTGTTACAGTGACAACAGCAATGCACTACTGGAAAACCAGCTTATCTTGAAATTTTCCATACATTTTTGTGGTTAACACAGCATATTAAAATACAGTATATAACAAGGCCCGTTTCAAGAGGGTATGCATTGTGCAGTCGTTGTAATAGCTTTATTTAATAATACCACACTTTAAAAAAAAAAAAAAAAAGCCATTTTAAGATGTTCCTAAAAAATTCAACCCTCTTAAATGTGATGCATGGTTGTTTAAGTGATGTCTTCTCAAAAAAGGTCATACAGTTTGAACTTACTGTGATAAAGTTTTTTTTGCTTTCCTCAGATGAGAGTTGATACCACTCTCATGTCTGTCCATTAAATATGATGCTACCACCAACAATCCATTAGCTTAGCACAACAGTGGAAACAGAAGGAAGCAGCTAGCTTGACTCGGCAAACAAAATCTGCCCAGAGTACATCATGTAACATCACACCGTTGTTTTTACTCAACAGGTTTTCCCCAAATGCAGGTGTGAAAAACTTGTTGCATCATTCCCAAAAAGACTCATGGCTGTATTAGCTCAAAAGGGTGCTTCTACTAAATACTGAGCAAAGGGTCTGAATACTTATGACCATGTGATATTTCAGTTTTTCCTTTTTAATAAAATGTCAAAAATTCTGTGTTTTTCTGTCAATATGGGGTGCTGTGTGTACATTAATGAGGAAAAAAATGAACTTGAATGATTTTAGCATATGGCTGCAATATAACAAAGAGTGAAAAATTTAAGGGGGTCTGAATACTTTCCGTACCCACTGTAGGTCACCGGCACTTGATGCTCAGTGTGACAGTTTTGTTTTTATTGCAGTGCATTTTGATTCCTGAGGCTGCTCTACCACTGTTTGAAGGGGCAGTGGCTCAGTCTCAGTTGCCTCTTTCATTTGCATGCGGTCGCTGCGTAATTCCTTACACAACTGCAGAAGGAAGTCACACCTAACAATTTTTGCTTTTGTGCAGCGCCGGTAAAGAATACATACATTGACTCCAGCCAGGTCCAACATGTTATAGAAGATGACGACTGGCCATCTGCGCGTGGTGGGTCTTGTGGAGTATTGTCTGATCATTTTGTCCAGGACATCCACTCCCACCTTGGTCTTGTTATAATAGTGCACTGTGTCTGGCTTTATCTTCTGGCTGTCACTTTCCACGTTCACTGTCTGGTGCATTGTGCTGAGGATGCACACATTTTTGTGCACCTTGCCCTGGTCACTCTTCATCACTTTGATGTCATGCAGTAGTATTTTCTGATGCACAGAAGATGGCAGTGCCTACCAGGCTGGTGTTCCTTACTAGGAGTTTATGAACAAAGGGGAGTGATGTATAAAAGTTGTCTGTAGTTACGGTTCTCCCCTTGCCTAGGTAATTGGAAAGTGTGTGTGTGTGTGTGTGTGTGTGTGTGTGTGTGTGTGTGTGTGTGTGTGTGTGTGAGTGGGGGGGCGCGTGAG